GAACAAAAAAGTCGAGTGAATGCCTATTTGAATTTTTTGTTCGCTCATGATATGAATTGTAACAGTAAAGTAGTACAAACTTAATCTTGACGACAAAAAGAAACAAGAATCTCTAGAAGACTGTTTCACGCGTATTAACTTTCTATCACTATCAAAGCTGGATGTGACTATCAAATCAAGTATGAGAATATAAATTTCGAAGAGTAGGAAGCCTTTTCTTTTCTCCGATTAATACGATAGGAATGAGTAAGTTATTAGATTTTCTATTATCTCAAATTATCCTAATTTAACTTCGGCAGAATTTTGTATTAATAAGTTACAAAATACACTTTAAGGAATTATCAATTCATTTTTCATTACAATAAATGTTTGTATTTACCAACATGGGTCCGACATATTATATTGCAGTGAATGTATGCGTGGAGCCGTGCGATATGAGAAAAAGAACAAGAATAAATAATGATCAACTGTTAAATATACCATTAAATATTGCAGCTCTTAAACTGAAGAGAAGACAAATATCAGGCACAATTCAAATTCTGAGAGTAACAGCGCTTTCATCTATTTAAAGTAGGCTATCAAGAGATACTGAACTATTCAAAATACGGCTTTTCTGTGGCCTTTGAAAATTTCTTGGACAAAATCACTGACTGTCTCACTGCTTTCGGACATTTCGAAAGAGATACAATCTGGCACGAACTAAAGTATAATTATAGAAACCTTCATTGATTATTTTTCCTACTTTTAGAACTGATGTTGTTATGCTTATATACGACTTGAAACTGTTCGTATTTTGATCAACTAGTATGATTACAGTAACACAAGCAAAATTTTTCTAAAGCTGTTTTTTGGAAAACCAACAGTTTCGATCGTTTTCATGACGAGAATATAAATCGATTGTATCAATATAGAAGTATGGAACATAAGTGTTTCAAATGTTAAAATAGTTGAATACTTCGTTTTTAGTTTCTTCGTTCACTATTCTCGTCCATATATAGAAGAAGTTAGATGTAGTCTTTGTGAAAAACGTTTTTGGTAAAAATCATCGAATATTTCAACTTATAATGCTTACGTTTTAACATAAATTAGAACGATTGGCAACTAAAATGAATTGCAACCTGAACTCAAACATATATATATATCTAGAGAGAGAGAGATTTTAATCATTGTGTGCATGTTTTCTTCGTTGGTGAATAGATCAGATATCTTTTGATTCTAGCTTTCCGCGCAACCGTAAGATGTGACAGAGACTAAATGAAGGAACATTAGCAATAGACGAGAGTATAGAGAAAATTTTCTGGGAAAGTTCATCAAACTGTGGTTTATGTGAATCAAGTTGTTTTCTTTGTACTTCCTTCTGGGATAAATTTTCCTTTTGAGCGCGTTTGCTAATATTAATTTTACTGTTTATGTCTCTGATACATACCGAAAATGTAGCGTGTCACTGATAATGGCACTGATCAAGAGAAAGGCTGTTGTTTGATCGATGGGCACATTATTTTCAATATGCATTTTAGTCAAAATGGTGGCTGTACATCCGACTGGTTCAAAGCGAATATAGATTGGTGTAGACGTGGTCAAGTCGCCAAGTTTATGATGATCGATAACATGAATGACATTCATCTTTATCAAATTTTTCATCGACTGTTGACCTAAAAAATTATCCAGTAAAATAGTATGTACATGACAATATCAATATTTCAACTTTGTGGACAACTGAAAAAATGATCGATGATCAACTATACATCACATAGCATTTTTTTTTGTAACAGCATACGAAGATTTGAAAAGAATTCTCTTATCAATCACACGAGTCATTCGAATATCCACTTTATTATTTACTACTGACTTTTTCAACAGCAATGAAATAACTCGAAAATCTACGTACCTATTGTATGTCTATCATTTAGATCGATTATCGATCAACAAATTGTTCTTTTCATATAACAATCAGAAATTGAGCTTCTTTTACTATCGACTATGGACTCGAAGATTAGTCCATCTGACGCTGAAAGTCATGTTGAAAAGTATTATTTGCAAGAAAGCGAAGTCTTTTGTTCTGACGAGAAGTTGTCAAGGGAAAATTGTTGCTGACAAATAGTATTTTGTACACGAAATTGTTCGTTGCACTTCCTAATATGGATTACAATCATGCTTTTTTTTTAGCCAATATAGATATTATTGAAACTTGATCAAATTGGGAAATTTAAAAAAAAAATTCCTTTTGTTTTTGCAGAAAACCTGAAATACGATTGACGATCACTTCTGCTTTTTTTTTAACAATTATAAGAGAGGACATAGGGTAGAGTATTAAATCAAGTTTATATAAGTTTGACAGGACAGCCACCAGATAAAAGAATACTTTGAAGTAACTATATACAAAACTCATTAGTGATATCTTCAAGAGTTGCACTTTCACTTTTTCATCTAATGTCTGTCTGAATACATAAGGTGCATTCAATAGTTCTAAAATGAAATTTTTTCCGTCTTCCTTAAGTTTAATGGAATCCTAACGGTTGCAATGCGATATCATATGTAGACCGAAAATTCAACAACGTTCGAATCTCATCTCTATTGATTGGTTTTTCAATATGTCATTTTGTCGAATATAGTCACCGTACTTTTATAGAAACTGAATAGTATGTTTGTCTAATATAAAGTGACATCTTCAATAACTGTACTGTATGAAATTCTATATCATATTCTTATTTATTAAAGTGATTCTACTCACTCTCATTATGATCGACCAATACAACTTCACTTCCCTCAGGAATATCTTCAGGTAACATGTCAGGTTGTTGTATTCCTGCCATGTCGAGTACAAATTGCGTTTCCTTATTGAGATCACCAAGACGATACGCTTTTGCGTTTACGTTTTGAAATCGTAAAAAAGCAGCATATCCAAGTGCTGTACAAATAGAGTCTGTGTCCGGGTTCGAATGGCCAATCACGGCTACTTCATTCATTCCATAAACTTTCACGATCATTGGCATAGCTCGAACAATGACAAAACTTAGATGAACTTGAATAATGACAACAAAACATAGCAAATACCAAGCAATCATAGCCATAGATAATCTGAAATGTAATATTATATCGATAACAGAAATAGGTTGGTTCGCAGAGTTTTTTCAGATATGCCGCAGGTGTAGCAAAACGCTTTAGAAATGATTTTCTAATCAAATAGTGGAAGACTCTGAATCAATCATGTAGAAGTACACAATGAATTCACTATTTTGACTCAAATACAACAAATGACACTTTTGAATAATATTATCATAGGACATCAACGTCTTCTTCAAGGGATGTCATAATATCCGAAACTTAGATATCAAACTTCTAAAACATCGATATTTCGCTAAATAGTGAGGATTTTGAGTGAATTTCGTGTAACGACATGAATATCCAAAAAAAACGGATACCCATATATCTAAAAAGTTAAGTATACTCTCATAACTCTTCCGAGAAGATCATATGCTTACGGTCTATAAACATCTGAACCTCTCCATTAAGGAACAGGATACAGCCAAGTATACAGCTGCATCTGAATTCGTAGCCATGTCGTCATTCGAACGCGTAGATTTACCAATACAGAACGATTCGTGATAAGGATCATGTAAATCAGGAGACCAACTTCTGGCATTCAAAGCATTGCCTAGACCAATACTGACATTCGTATTAGGCAGCCTTACCTACACTGACACCCTTACTATAAGCACTCCAATGTCATCGCTCATATAAACACATTTATTCACAATTGTACCTTCGTCTATAGACAACTCGATGTTGGACAATCAAAGATTTAATTACATCCACACTCCCCACAAATACGCGACGCCGTCGTTCACATAAAAACCTTCAGCACAGAACCAGCGTCACAATGTCATACGCACTCACAAGCACACTGACACCGACATGGAAAGCACCAATCAGCACCGGTATTCGCACCCACGTCCGAGTAGTGTCAGTTCTGGAAGTTGAATTAGATTATTGAAAACCTTTTCAAATATTGAAATAATCAATAAATGAATATTTGCAGCTAGGCTTCACACACCCATATTCTTGTATCAGGCAAACTAACATCGGTGCCGTATGGGTGAGTATTGTCCCACGTGCACATCCTCATCTCCTATCCGAAAAATAAGCTGTTGTTAGAATAAAATTGAAAGTCTTTTTCGTTTTTTCCCGTATTATAGGTTTTCCATCGCGCATTCTAGAGATCTCGAAGAAGCTCCATTGCAGTCAATAGCTTTTTTATATTTGAAAGAGCGTGTAAAACTGTAGCGCCTACAAGTGCCCATTTTTTGAGTCTTTCCAGATTATTCGAGAGTTTTTCAAGTGATTGAACTTGCCAGTCTTTTTCTCCGCTCGAAAAATAAGAGTTTATAAAAATGAGCTCTCATACACACCGCATTTCGATAGGCTTTTTCAAACAAAAAAAAAGACTAAATGTATAGCATGAAGATTACAGATAATTCTTTGAGACGAAATGAGTTTGTTTTACTCTTGTTTGATGAATACCTTGCTCACACGCCATGGTAAGAAGCTGGAAATTTGACCATAGCCTTCGTGTTACAACTTTAGCATATCCTCAAAATTTCATAAGGTGTCAATGTACCCGCCCTAACATCGTTTTTTGAGAGCGAACTTAATGGTCATCAGTCGTAAACATGTTTCTATGACTTTTTTAGTAATGATCGAGCTCTACCTGAAGAGAGCCACGAGATAGTTTCTTAGAAAATCACTTTTGAGAACCTAGAATAGGGTGATTGATCATATAAATCTGATCAAAACAGCGAGGATCGACCAAGACATCATTGCCGAACATGATATATTTGTTCAGAAATGGTGTTAACAACCAGACTTCTCAATGAGTCCCCTAAAAAAGGCTTCCCAGCATAATACTAATTGTAACCGGGTGACCAATAGTATAGTCCAGGTAACGTTTGTTTCAGTCTATGAATGAAAAGAAAATAAAGAACTAGTAGCTATTTACACCAATGTATAGTCGTGATAAAAATCAAGTTAGGGACACTAACTAAGAAAGACTATGGTAGTTTCGAGATCTCTTTCGTTACGATAACTATAGATCAGGGCAATATTTTCAATTTATTCAAAATTATCATTGGGTAAAAGAATATGAAATTGAATCAATAATCTTTGTCACAGCAACGTTTTACTGTAATCGATCGTCTTACTGATTGAATAAACGTTGTGAGACTTCTTGTTTTGTCCAATGGACGTTTCAGAGATTTACAGAAGCTAATTTAAATAAGCATTGTGAATGAGCTGTGAGCATCGATACCAATTATGTTTTATACGTGAAATATTCATCATAAAAAATCTCTTCGATGCTTAGCAACACGAGTAAATACTGCAGGTTGCTCTATGTAATAGATCGTTGCAAAGTTCCGAAATTTTTCTGTGTTCTATTCCAGTAGTTCAATCAAACGACACAATTCCTAAACTTTTTCAACTATTTGGATCGGAGTTACATGTGAATGATTTTTTGGAACGATACTTCATAAATCTAGTATTGGAAAATCATTCTAACTGAAAATTTACCTCTGGTTGAATATCGAATGTATTGAATGAACCTTGTAAAAGCAGGGTCGTCAATGAATTGATTAGTTATTTCCAATAATATTTCTCGCAATCCGATACTGTATTTGCTTTCAGAACAATATGACCCTCACACTGCTGTTACAGCAATTTATACCGGCAATAGTAATAAAATCGATTAACAAATGTAACAGTCGTAAAGAATTTTTAACAATTCTTGACAATGTTCTGTGTATAATGTTTTTATGACCTATAGATACCATTTACAATGTTAATTTCATTTTATCTACAGAATGAATTATGACTTTGAACAAAAATGCACTCGTTGAACAAATGACCACACTAGATCAAGTATAACTATCGTTCGTATTTTGATTGTGTACAGCAATAGAAGTTTCATATAGAAACTTTGGAATGATTCATCTATCTCTCGTTAATTGTTGAATAGAAAACATAATTTCACACTTGCTTCAGTCTTTTTATCAAGACTAAATGACTCTTGTTGATAGCGATGTTTCTTAATCTTGTATTCTAGAATCGAGTAGTTTTAGAGTCATTTTGCATGTATTAAGAACAAGTATGAATAACAACGAAGACATAAAATAAATTACTTTCAGGGATCAATTGAGATTGTAAAGGCATAAAATATATAACCACAGTAAAACTGCTGCACCGGATTCTCTTGAGTATTATTTTTGTTTTGGATTTGATCACAAATTTCTGTAAGAAATAAAATGAATGGTTGACTGAATGTTTTAGTTAGATTCTATATAGCTCATTGGCCAAGATGGGGTTGTTTGAATAAATACACCTAAGAGTAGAATTTTTCATACAAATACAAATCTAGCGGATACATCGGAATAAAAGAACGCTTAGATATTTCTTTGATGGGGTCTGGTTATGGGATTGTGAGTATGGTTGCTTGTTGAGTATATCCTCAAATCATACCCACACCCTATGATGAAGACTATAACAACCATACACACACCCGCACTCATCCTTGTACTACACGTTTAAGAAAGTTAACTCTAATTTGATTGTACACTACAATACAGCAATGAGCAAATGAATAATAATGCCATTCAAATCTTTCTATGGTATACCGAAACTATCACTTGTAATACTATATATTAAGATATCATATTCAGCATATAAGGTTACTTCTCTTCTCTGGAATAACACGATATCGAAATTTTTTTTCTTTTCTCTCTTTTAAAAATGAAATATATGCATGTGTAGCATGTGTGGTCAACAAAAAAAATTAAACCAGCCTATTTTCTTATTCCCTCGACTGAAAGGAGGGTCATATGAAAAAAATAGTTTGTATGTTTGTTTGTGTCAGGGTCAAAAGAACATCGGGGTCAAAAAAACATCCGCTTCTGCATGAAACTTGACCAAAGGATAATCGAGGGTGGGGAATTCGAATCTGAGGTTAGTTTTAATTAATTATTAATTAATTACTAACTGATTGTTCCCTCGACTGTAGGGAGGGTCATATGAAAAAAAATCGTTTGTATGTGTGTGTGTGTGTCAGGGTCAAAAGAACATCAGATTCAAAAAAACATCTGCTTTGAGGAAATTTTCGATATGTGGCGTTTCAACAATCAGACACTTATGCCGAAAATCCAGTCAATCAGCGATTTTCGATATTGGGCTTTCAGCCAATAGGATTTTTCCATGCCGAAAATCCAGTCAACGAGGGTTTTCAATATTGGGCTTTCAGCCAATAGGATTTTTTCATGCCAAAAATCCATCCAATCAGAGGTTTTCGATATTGGGCTTGCAGCCAATAGGATTTTTCCATGCCAAAAATCCAGCCAATCAGGGTTTTCGATATTGAGCTTTCGACCAATCAGATTTTCTCAGGCAGGAAATCCAGTGAATCACATGTTTTCGCTGACGGAGTCTTGTCCAATAAGGTTTTTGCGCAAGAGCTTCAGCAATGAAATCTTCTCATTTTCTCGCTCTTGCCCAATGAGATTTTTATCAAGCTGAGGTTTGTGTGAGTGAAATGTTTTCGCGATTCCGCTTTGTTCAACCAGTTTTTTTCAGCTGGAAACTGAGTTAATCAGATTTTTTTTATTGTACGGCTCTGCTGCAATCAATTGTTACAAGACTGGAAGAAGTCGATACTAATAGCGGTCTAGAAGTTTCCTTTCTCCTTTGTTCACAGGTAGGTATGTCTTGTAGAACATTGATTTTTCAAAATCTCTGGCAATTAAAACTGTAAGGAACAAGTTACAAGAAACTATGGTTTTCGGAACTTCTCACCTAGAATTTTTTTTGTTATAAATAAAGAATCCTTCTCCAACTTTTCCCTATCCAGTACCTTCGGCATCCTCACCTGTGTCATCTATTTCAATCGGCTCTGTAGAAAAAATTGAAAAATCAGATTCAGTACCTAAGTATGATGTTACTATAAAGCACGCTGATGAAGATGCAATTAGTGACGTAACAACCATTGAAGAACCAGATTCACTGCTAGTACCTCAAGCTATTGTACAACATGCTAGTGAAAATCAAATTAGTGACGTAACAGAAATTGAAAAAGCAGGTTCAGTATTTTTGTCTCAAATTATTGTACAACTTCATAATGACAATACAATTATTGATTTAATACCAATTGAAACATCAGGCCCACTGCCTGAGTCTGATACCCTTATGAAACACGCTGATGAAGATGCAATTAGTGATGTAGCTCTAATTGAAGAAGTAAAAGCACTACTAGTGTCTCCAGTTATTGTACACAATGCTAATGAAAATTCAATTAATGATGTAACAGAAATTGAAAAAACAGGTGTAGTGCTTATGTCTCAAGTTATTATACAACATGATAATGACGTCGAAACATCGGCAACAAGTGAAGAAAATTTTGTTGAAGTACGGACTGCAGTATATCGAGCTATACGCATAGATGAAGCTAATAGAAAAACAAACCATATGGTAAATTCAACAGTTAAAGAGATAAGTAATCATATTCAAAATGAGGTTTTGAAAATAAGGCGTCCACGACAGAAATTACGGAAGACCCTTGGCAAGATTCAGCACTCTCGCACTCATTATTCTACAGTAACAATATTGCCTGAACGAAAATTATTCATTAGTAAGTTATTAAATTGCTTGCTTATTTGCAATAATCAGATACGATCGATAGTCTCGACTTATATGTTCACTTTGAGTGATTTCAAGAATTATTTTCCAAAATATATCAACCAAAAAACTTTCTACTCGAACACTATGATGACTGATAAATCCATTTGGTCAAGGTTCTCGATCACACATATATGAAAGAACCAAGTGCTATTCCAAAAGCTATTTATTCATATGTAAATATGCTAATTTATTTAGTTTTATAATTGAATTTTCTATTTCGATGAATACATTTATATTTGGATGCTCAATATTAGTCAGGCAGAAATAATTTGGAGAACTTCTTTCAATGTTAAAAAATAGTTCTGTTTGATAAATTTTCGAAACGCTTCTGTGAGTCAACTAAATCCATATCCAGTAAAACACAACCTCAAAATTAGTCAAATCTTAACTAAAAATTGGATTTGGATTTCACTGAAATTGGATTTAGTATGTATCTAGACGCTTCCATAGAGGTGTACCGGTATAATCTCAGACAAGGAGGACAAAGCAGGTCCTGAATCCTAATAGAAGCTGATGAATTTGTAGAATAAATTATTTAAGATGTGACATAAAGAAGGTAACAAAAGTTGATCATAAGGGAATGCGAGAATTCATCAAGATCCAAAAAAAAAATAACCATGGAAAGGTTTGTATTGTTTGTCAAAAAGATTGACCATGTTCGGGTTAAATGATCACCTTCACCGAGAAACTAAAAACTTTAAAATATGAGCTGTCCATGACTTGCCTTGACAGAGATATTCAATTTTTAAGTTATACACATTTTAGTATAGAAGCATGATAATATGCGAATTATTTATATCAATATTCTAATATAATAATCAAATTTTTTTAGTGAGCTAATTTTCAAAACTTTGCTGGAACCTATTGACAACAGTAGGGTCGCTTTAGATTCGACTTTTTCTGAACTGTAATAAAATCGAATTAGAAAAGAACAAACGTACAATGTCGAAAAGTTAAATGCATTGACGCATTACTTTATAATGTATAGGACTGTTGACATATTCCAACGCCACAAAGAATGCATAAAGAAGCATCTAAATGATTATTATCAGTAAGAGTCTTGAGAAGTTATAACAAACCATTGATGACATAGAATAAAGAGGCTGAATAATGGAGACAAGTTAAGAATAATATATGAATAGTCTCTATCGTATATTCCTGCTTTCATGCAAAATAAAGTCGAAAATATGGATGAATGACGTCTTCTTATATTTAATAGTTAATATTTCCCCCATTTGATACTATTAAACTTCAGAAAAAGTTGAATCTAGAACAGCCTTACTATTGTCAATAGGTTCCAGTAAAGTTTTGAAAATTAGCTCACTAAAAACATTTGATTATTATATTAGAACATTGATATGAATTATTCGCATATTATCATGCTTCTATACTAAAATGTGTATAACTTAAAAATTGAATATCTCTGTCAAGGCAAGCCATGGACAGCTCATATTTTAAAGTTTTTAGTTTCTCGGTGAAAGTGATCATTTAACCCAAGCATTGTCAATATTTTTGACAAACAATACAAACCATTCCATTATAAGATTAAAAAAGCTGAGTATCTTCATCTGGTTACAATCAAATGAACTGTTTTTTCTTATAAGAGAGAAAAATTTCAAGCAAATATTTAAACAGAAAAGCTCAAGAATGCTAATGAAAAAGCTAGCTAACATAATTTTCATTACAAGAAGATAACGTATTTACCAAGGCGTAACGATAACCCTAGATGGTTCCGAAAACTTCGGGCATAAAAGCATTCAAGAAAACTCATTGAAACCCTGGAAAATTTAAGAAAACTGGCGAAAGCTCGAAAATACTAAAGATTCTACGAAAACTATAACAACCTGTGAGAATCTGAAAAAAAATTATCAAACGCATTAATATTGAGGTTAATTGAGGACATTGCACTTTCTCTAAGTTTCGCTTCGAAAAGTAACTTTTAACGACTTAGAACTCGAGAACTGCGAAAAAAATTAAAAGTTTTCGAAAAAAATACGTGAAATGAATCTGATGCAACTGAAATTTTTGCGTTTAAACAACTTGTGCTAGTTTTTAGTGGTATTCTTGAACTTTTTCTTATTAATAAATACTTGAAGATGTACTCTATCCCTAGGACAAAAATCGATTCATTTGATTGGAAGCTGGTGGCAGTATTCAATTCTGAAACCCATGATGATTTTGGGACATTCTCTATGTTTTCCTAACAATTTTTGGATCATACATTGTAATATTTTTTACATAAACTGACTCATATTTACATTTGCGTGTTTTTCTTGCGAAAAATTGCATATAGAATCGATATCTCTGGGAAAAGTAATTGTTCAAGTACGTCGACTCAGTGCTCAGAGAATGAGAAAGACGAAGTATAATGTTTTCTCTATGGAAATTTTTCAAAGTACGAAGTAATACTCCACGTCCGTTAATGTTTTCGTCTTTTTCTAGAAGGTGCACAACATCATGTGGCATGCCGACTCCACAAAAATCAACAGGTACAATCACTAAATTTCATCGGCAATCGTCATTACAGAGAAGCTATTGGCGCGGTAATGATCGTATCCGATACTAATCAGAATACGGCAGATGAATCACGAATCAGCTTTAATGTAGAGTTGAATTCTTCAATAGGACTAACTGCATTTTTTGATTTGTCGAACTGACTGATTAGCTATTTGAGGTTGAACCGATGTAATTCACGTTCGAAATAAGCAAACTATTGTACATTGATATCAAAGTCGATAAAATATATGGAAAACGAGCGAGTAATCAGTAGTCTAATGTCATAAGAGTCAACCCTAAGCAACACTTGATAAAGTCTTGACAATATCGCGTCTGCTATTATTGTGAGAGTCCTAGTCAGGATTGATAGCAAACGCTGGCAGGATTCTCGATTGTTAGTTTAGAAAAATTCTGGGCAGCAGTTCGAACAAACCCTAAGGAGAATTTCATTCAACCTTGAAAAATGCTGTAAACACGAATTATTAGGACTCGAGATAAGATCCTGAACAAAACTTGGCAAGATCGATGCTATCCACAATCCTGACAAAGGCTTCCAATATTTCTCAAGGAATAAATAAGATTAAGATTAGCACCATGCCCTCATCTTTATTTTATCCTACACATATCTGCCATCTTTTCTATTTCAATCTATTATTTTATCAAAATTGTTTCTTGATCGAAAGTTGTGTGTATGTTTGCAAGTGGATGTTACTGATTCCCTTCTTAACACACTGACACTGCCATCTACATCATTAGATCTAAAAATCATTTTCTTCTGACTTTTCAGCTAGAACGATTTTAGTTGATTTATAAAAAGACAATCAGAAAGTTGGCGAAATTTCCAAAAAAATCAGAATTCAATAAGATTGCGTAGAGTTGAGAATAATTTGATGAGAAAAGAGCTTTTCCTGCATCCACAGACTTATCATGTAGTCTTTTCTATGATAGGCTCTTGCTAAAATCCTTACTCGTTTCTCGTTGAATTCTTGATTGATGTTCACTTTTGAAGAGATTGGACATTACTATTTTGTGCCAGCTCATCAGACATGATATGTCTTCGAATTTAGTTGCAGAATTTTTTTTTTGAGAAAAGAAATCAATCACCAAACCTTGTCCATTTCTGCTCAATGCCGTGCTCCAAATAGTCAGTATATCTGTTCTGCACACACTCACCTTTGTAACGAAATTATCTGAAGCTAACCTGATTCAATTTATTTCAGAGTGTATGTGAGTAGGTGAGTACAGATGAAGGAGTGGCTGACAAGAAGAGGCATACTGGCATTTGCTCGACTCCGAAACAAATCAAAGTTTCTGACGAATTCTGTCAAGATTTTGTTGGTATTCTTGAACATTGGATTGCACTGGTCCCAAAGCACAACTACTTATTGCGATAGCATATCTCACATGTTCAACAGACGCCTTGTGATTTTGAAGTTTTTCTAGGACGGTGACATCGTTGTGATCAATAACCAATGATGAATAGTTCGAAGAAAGATAGATTCGCTTGATTTTTAGTGTTTTTTGATAGAACCTTATTGCTCTGATGACAGCACCTTCTCAATAGAGCATTAGAACGACGTTGCCATACGTGATAGCTTGAAATAGATGATTGGCTGTGAAAGACTTTTGCTCTATGTTAAGTGCATTGCAAAACCAGAACAGGACCTTCAAATGGTCTCCTAAGTGTTGTACGATTGACTTAGAGTGGGATGATCAAGTAGATAGTATTCTTTTTGAATTTCAAGTGATTTTGGAAAATCTCCTCCTGTATAATGTAACATACAAAAGTTACTATAGCTAGTAGAGTCTCTTATCTTGTCATATATGAAATCAATATTTTTGTATATTAGACCTAAAGCCGGATGGTTGGATCGAAGAATTTTTTCTAGAATTGAAAGAAACTTCTGAAAAAGTGTCATTGCTTTTTGATACTCTTTGATTTGACAAGACAAAGTATCGAGATTACTATAGGTAACATCAAAATATGGTTGATTAGCAGGAAGAGATGTACATTTGATATCGAGAGCATATTGGAATAGGTTTCCATAACTTTTTGTAGAGAACCTATATTACTGTATAAATAGGCATGTATTGCTAATTTGAAGAATGGCTTTTCTGATAGATGTAAAGAGGCTTGCGATAGAAAAACATTTCATTCGAGTACTCCGCTAATGATTCGTATATGCCACCGATGGTGTTGTAAACTGTAGCTAGATCTTCATGATTGGAAGGAAGATATTTTCCTCGAATTTCAAGTACTTTTTTGTATATTGATAGTACTTTTCTGAAATCTTCGCTTCTGATATGAATTAATCCTAGGTTGAAGTAGAGATCAGTTAGTTCTTGTTCTTTTTTGAAGTGTTGATTTGAGAAGAGTAGTGAAGATATTTTCCGAATGCTGGAACTCTCTCATAATTATTAACAATAATCCTAATTTGTGCGAATCGGTGGCGCCTAACGGTTTCTTTCGAATGCATTCAGTAAAAGTTTCTAGTTCTTTGTCATCGTTATTTGTAGTCAGTGTTAGTTTCACTTCCAATATTTTATTTTCTAGTTTTTTTTTT